TACTCATAAAAATGGGATCCCTATCGCTTACTATGGACAGAGGAATGCCATGGAGTTTGACTATCTCCTTACAAAATACTTCAGCAATACTCCTAGCTGTATATGGATGTCGCAGAGGGATAAAATGAGAGTACTTTGACAGTCTGTCCACCACCACTAAAATAGCTTCGAAACCTTTTGACTTTGGCAACCCGGTGATGAAGTCAATCGATAAATCATCCCATATCTGATGAGGAATGGGTAGAGGTTGTAACAAGCCTCCTGGAGATGAAGCCATGTACTTCTGTCTTTGGCAAATGTCGCATCTTCTTACAAAGTCTTGTACGGTTCCTTTCATGCCTGTCCAATACACATTAGCCGCAATTCTTCTATAAGTTTTGTAGAACCCCGAATGTCCTCCTTGGGGTGTTGAGTGGAATTCCTCTAACAATGTAGGAATTAGCAAAGAATTGTTGGAAATCACCAACCTACCTTCATACATTAAGACACCTTGCTTGTACTCATACCCAGGCCATGTTTCTGCATTTTGTTGAACCTCTTCTATTATTTTCTGCAACCTTTCATCCTGTTGGTTTTCTGTTTTAACCTGTTCCATATGCAGCCATCTCCATTGGTAATTCATGGTAGCTAACTCCCCTCCCTCATGAATTCTGGACAAAGCATCGGCTCCCTTGTTCAATTTACCCTGTTTGTACACAATCTCAAAATCATAACCCAATAATTTAGCAGTCCAGTTCTGCTGCTCTGCAGTTACAATTCTCTGTTGCAGTAGTTGTTTGAGGCTTTTTTGATCAGTTGATACTACAAATTTTCTCCCCAGCAAGTATGGTCTCCAATGCTGGATTGCTAAAACTACTGCCATCAATTCTTTTTCATAGGCCGATTTTGCTAAATTCTTCACCCCAAGGGCCTTGCTGTAGTATGCTACTGGTTTCTTATCTTGCATCAATATCGCCCCTATTCCTCCTCCTGAAGCATCACACTCAATCATAAAACTCTTTGAAAAATCTGGTAAAGCTAGCACAGGTGCTGATGTAAGCCTCCACTTCAACTCATCAAAGGCTTGCTGAGCTTCCACTCCCCATTTGAAACTGTCCTTCTTGGTCAGCTCAGTTAATGGTCTAGCAATTTTCCCATAATCCTTTATAAACTTCCTGTAATAACCTGTAAGTCCTAAGAATCCTCTCACCCCTTTTACATTCTTAGGTTGTGGCCATTGAGTCACACTTGCCACTTTTCCAGGATCTACGGCTACACCGTGCTCAGTAATCATGTGCCCCAAATACTCCACACTTTGTTGGGCAAAAAAACACTTTTTCTTGTTAGCCACTAGGCTGTGATTAGCTAACAAACTCAACACTTCTTCTAAATGTTTCAAATGAGTCTCCCAGCTCTTGCTATAGATAAGTATGTCATCAAAGAAGACCAACACATGCTTCCTTAACAGAGGGCGAAACACATCATTCATTAGGCTTTGGAACGTTGACGGCGCATTCATGAGTCCGAACGGCATCACAAGGAACTCATAATGCCCTTCATGTGTTCTGAAAGCTGTTTTGTACACATCAGATTCCTTCACCCTCACTTGGTGGTACCCCGATTTCAAATCTAACTTCGAAAAGAACGTAGCTCCATGCAACTCATCCAATAACTCTTCGATCACCGGTATAGGAAATTTGTCAGGTACCGTGATCTTATTTAGAGCGCGATAATCAATGCACATTCGCCATGTGCAGTCCTTCTTCTTCACCAAAATCACCGGACTTGAGAACGAACTCGTACTGTGGCGAATGATCCCCGTGTCCAACATCTCCTTCACCTGCTTCTCAATTTCATTCTTGTGATGGTGGGGATAACGATACGGCCTCACGTTTACGGCTCCTTGTCCTTCCACAAGGTTGATCGCATGCTCCTTGTTCCTTGTCGGCGGAAGGCCTAGCACGGTTTGGAACACTTGATCATATTTGTGTAATAATGCTTCTAACTCCCTTTGTTGTTGGACAGGCAACGGACCTTTTTCAGCCTCTTTGGGTTTTGTTTTCTCTACTATCCACAATAAATCTTGCATATTGGGCCTGGGCTTGCTGAGAACAGTTTGCAAAGCTACTGTAGGCTTCCTGCACCCCTCCTGTCCTTTAAGAGTCACCCATTTCTTCTCACTCCAAAAACTCATAGTTTGTTTATTCCAATTAATAATAGTATCCCCCAATGTTTTAAGCCACTCAATGCCTAAAACCACATCAATTCCTCCTAATTCAAATAAATGCATTTCTGGGTCTAATTTGAATTCATCAATACACACTTCCATTCCCTTACACACCCCCTGTGTTGCTATTTGTAACCCATTCCCCAATTTGACCGTCATTTGAGGGGTAGTGTCAATTGGCCAGTCCATTTGATGCACTAATTTTTGAGAAATGAAATTATGTGTTGCCCCACTATCCACCAAAATCAATACCTCTACTCCTTGTATTGTTCCTTGGAATTTCATAGTATGATGAGTCTTATGTGCAATGTGATGCAAGTTAAGTACACTCATCTCCCCCTTCTCCTCTTCATCACTTTCATCCACCTCTATAGCCAAGAATTTGGTCTCATCCACATCATCTCCACCCTCTTCCACAACCAAAACTCTTAGTTGTTTTTCTGGGCATTGGTGCATAGGATGGAATGGGCCTCCACACTTAAAACATAAGCCCTTTTGCTTCCTTTCCATCAATTCATTGTAAGACAAATGTTTGAAACCCCTATCACGAGGCCCAGTGTGTTTCTTTTCATTTTGGGCCTGTTTGTCTCCTTTGAGCCCACTTACTCCACTCTTGACACCCCCATGTGGCCCAACATCTCTCCCCCTTATCATGACCCAATCAGATGCAGCTTTCCTTCCTGATGACCCATTATGAGATGGGTTATAACCAGCTCTAGACCCACGATGAAAGCCTGACCCGTTTCCCCCTTTCACCTCTCTCTCCACAGCTCTTGTGACTTGGAGCAATTTTGTTCTGCTCATTTCCCCCATTGCCACCAAGCTACGTACCTTTCCCCTAATCTCTGCCTTCAACCCATGTAAGAAATACCCACGAAATTGTTTCTCCGGTAGCTTCGGTATCTGTGCCGTTAGGTATTCAAACTCTGTGATATATTCCTCAACCGTTCCCTCTTGCTTCAATTCCGTCAACTGTTCATAAACATCACCCTCCCCGTGTCCTCCATACCTCTCCAACAAAGCCTCCTTCAACGATTCCCAGGTCAACCCTTCTTCCTCTCCGAGCAAAGAGTTAAAAAAATGAATCGTTGCTCCCTCCATACACAGTTGAGCTAAACTCACTTTCATCTCTGGTATCGTGTCCTGGACGCGGAAATACACTTCTGCCCGTGAGATCCATCCCGCCGGATCTTCTCCGGTAAACGACGGCAGTTCTACCTTCTTCACGGATTGGCGATACTCTGTCAACGCCTCTCCATGACGGTTGTTGACAACCGTACTCTTTGGACCTTTGCCGGACACGCTCGCATCTCCTTCGTCTACGGTCAACGACTTACCCAAGCATTTTTCTAACATTGCTATCAGATTAGCATGGTTTGTCGTTACTGAGTTCTGCATCTCGACGAGAGTTGAACGCACCTCTGTGATCTCACTCTCTAACGCTTCGACCCTGGCTTCCATCTTTGCGAACACCGTTAACGTCACCTTTTTTGGTGGCATTCACTGGCTCCTTCGTCGGAATCCGGTAGGTCGGACCACTTGATACGAACTAAAACACAGAATTGTAGTAATATAACAGTACAAGCAGAAAACAGAGGAAAAGAGAGCTTTATTTTAGTGAATATGAATGGGAAACAGTTACAGAAAAGGGAATGTAACCCTAGATCTGACAAGAGCTAGGCTCCTAATAGGAAGCTATAGCTCCCTATTCATGCTAGTAAATCACTATAATCCAAGGTAAGATCTACATTCTCCCTCTGATCCCTTATATCGTGGAAATGGATTGCAAAGTGCTCTCCTCACTCAAGCCACGTCACAATATTATAACTAACTAGCCACCAATTCCCTTCTTACCCTTCCTTCTAGAATACACTTTCCACTCTTGGGGTCCACTTGATTCCTTGTAAATCAGCCGCTCACGTGGCAATTCTTTCTCAACTAACTGAGTCCTATCAATGTCTTATAACCAAACAAAAACTTCCCAGCATCACAAATTAGAAGTTCACAGTACTCATACCTATATGCCATTGAAGGTCACATCTGACCACCTGCCCAAAAGAGTAACATATCAACCTTCATGCTCTGGCATAAAATACAAAACAAGTTGAAACTAATATAGAACACCCACATACAAAGCATTTTAGCTATTTATAAAGGCAACCATATCAAACAACTACATCCTCTTCGTCCCAAGAGCGAGCTTTCTGTAGAGAAACATTGGATGCGACATAGAGTATATCAGTTCCAGTTGCAAAAATTAAATGCTATATATACAACCAATTAAATCAAATCAAATCAAACATGAATCTGAATAAGTGAGACAAAAATAACATTAACAATAATATTAAGATGCAAAATTGATAATGATAATCAAATCTAAGAGAAAGAAAACTAGATATGAATTAGGTGAAAACATTTGTGATGGGAAATAGCTTAGCAGACTCTGATACGATATTGTGTCATCAACTTTACATAGAATTCATAAGTGACACCTTTGCATCATTCTTCCCAACAAACACATAATCTTATTCTAAAAAATAATCTTCCCATCAACTCATATAATATCTGTAATAGATTAAAAAATTATTCATACTTTACAAAATAATTAAATGTTAAAGACAATGATTTATCCAAGAATTGACCGTTTATTGTATACACATATTGATCCAAATACCGCTTATCTTCACCTGAATCAAGCAGAATCAGTTAAGCTTGAAAGCCTAAAAGAGGATCAAGCAGTTTGGTGACAATGGAAATGCAGAAGAGATCATAAGAATCAATAAAGAAACTCTCATCACCGGCGTCGTTTCCTTTTCCCAACAAATCCAGTGACGGGACTGGAACGGAATCCGACTACTGCCACATCAGCTCGCCGGAAGCACAGCGCCGACAACAACCACCTCCAAATCAGGTGCGAAACCGACACTAATCCGCTGCAAAAACACGTACCGACTGCTCTATCCTGGCTGCTGCATTGAATACCGTTAAAAGGAACCTCAAAACACAGTAAAAACTTCTTCTTACTTGATATGATTTTGTGTTTGTTTGAGTTTAAATTGATTTTGTTTGTGTGTTTCGACTGAGAAAGGGAGAAGATCTGGAAGAAATTGAGCGAGAGAAAGAAACATTCATTGAGAAAGAAAAGAGTCATATTAGTAATAGGAGAAAAAGAAATAAAAAAGGATACGGAAGAGGAAAAGAAATTGTAATAGAGAAATAAAGACTACCAATATAGCAAGAAAATTAATAAGTGTCAGTGACTTTTCATTCTTCAAGAAATTCAAATGAAAATGTAGTTTCCAAAGTAGCTTTTCAATTCTTTAAGAGAGGTTTTTATTTAACCAAATAAATATATACTAATTCAAAATTATTTCAAATATCTAATATTATGACAGACAAGAATATTAAATGTCAAACGAAGGAGGTTGTACTAAGAGCATCCACATTTATCATATCTATTTGGATTCTTTAAATGAGACCTATATAATTTTTTATATTATTTCACACTTCTCAATTTTTTAAACAACTCATCTACAATTCTCAAATATCCATGTAACTCATCAAAAAAATCTTAAATGGGTCCCACATTTAAAACAAATCAACTACATTCTTACAATTTTATTTATTAATTTATTATCATGACCCACTTAATTGGAGTGTAGAAGCGTGCTTTAGTATGAGGATGTGCTTTAGTATGAGGACGTGTTTTAGTTCAGGAACGTGAAAACAAGTGAAATATTCATTTATTATTGACACAATTTCTTTAATAAATGTGTAGGAACTCTCAAAGAACACAGATAATCATGCTCTAAGGTTTCAAATAATCAAATCTAATTCTAAAATCAGAAATTTTTTAACGTGAATTCAAAAAGATATATGTGATTTTTTCGAGTACTTTAACTTCTATATATTTATAATAATGTATTAGATCATCAACTACCTATTAACCCAATATTACCCTTTCTCAAATTGAACACTTCCACTAAAAATTAGACACTTAAGTAATTAGCAAAATGCAATTGTACTTCAGTCTCCTAATTCCTTTCAACTTAACATGGGTCAACTTCTCATTGGTGGTGTTTTTTTCATATTTTAAATTGGACAGACTGTTTCCTTTCTCCGTCTCTCTCTCTTACCTCTATATCATCCCCTCTCTTTAACCATTACCTCTCTCCTCTGAACATCATTTGTTTCAACTTTACATCCATCTCTCAATACTACTACTTCTCCTTACCTCAAAGCTTCCAACTTTACATCTCCTCGATTCTATTTTCTCCACCTCCAACATAAATTTCTCCATCTTCTGATCAATGATTTTTTTCCCTTTTGTAACATTTTGTTTCCCTTTCCTCCATTTTATGCTTCACTTTTTTGTATTTTACCCTTCAATCGTGGTTCTGAAAAAACGATTTTGTTTTTCTCTGGCTTACCATTTCACTTGGACAATTTCAGTCTTGGGTTTGCAAGTTCTCTTTTTTTGTAACAATGGTGTCAGCTTCATTTTTAAGATTTTATATGTTGTGTTTTCCGGTTTACTTCTGCTACATGACATTGTTTTATCTTTGTTCTTTGTTCTGGTTTATGTATGGTGTTTTGTTTTGCTTTGTTCTCGTTTATGTATGGTGCTTTGTTTGGCTTTGTTCTCATTTATGTACGGTGCTTTGTTTTGTTTTGTCCTGGTTTATACAGGGGTTTATTTATGGAGCTTTATTTATGTGGTTTAGTTGTTGGAAAAAACAAACTATAGAGAAAAAGATGAACAAAATAACAACACATAATATACTCTCAACTAAACCAAACCCCCAATACATTCATACCTTCCAAAACAAATACAAGTTTAAACTGTTTTTGACTGGTGTATCTTGTAAAGAAAAACTTGAATCCTATATATAGTCTTGGACTCCCTTTTCCTTTACAAAAAATAAGCAAAGCGTGACTTCTTCCACATGTATATTTTCAACTAACCCCAACAATCTCCACCTTTATTGAAAATAATACATAAGCTTTCATTGTCTTCACCGACAATAATACTCCATCATAAAGAGTATAGTCACTTGAAGCTACACCACTCCAAAAAATTTCACATTGTCTTCGCCGACAATCATAGTTTTAAAAACTATCACACTCCACCTAAAGAAGAGTATATTTCACTTGAGGCTAAACCACTTCAAGAATTTTCACATGCCGAAAACCAAATTGAAACTTTATGGTGAAACTTCCATGTTGGTAAGAAGCTCTTTAACCACCGATATAATCTCACACACCTTGTGTAAACTGATTGTATTAACACATATTTGACTTGAACTTTCCACAAGTCAAAAACAATTCTTCCATCAATTTTCTCTAGCCTAAACTGCACAGCGGAACTTGTGACTGCAACTCAACAACTCTTTCACAACAATACCCTTTTTTCTGATGTGGAAGATCAGATAAAGCTGCAATCACATAGCATACTAAGAACGATTATCCCCGGATCGAACCAAAAGCTCTGATACCAGTTGTTGGGAAAAAAAACAAACCATAAAGAAAATAGGAACAAAATAACAACATATAATATATCCTCAACTAACTCAGGCCCCCAATACATACATCTACACCCTCTTTAACTACATCTTACAACACTCTGATATAAGAGCATAAGAGAACAAAGAAAGACAAATACAAGTTTAAAGTGTTTTTGACTGGTGCATCTTGTAAAGAAAAATTTGAATCCTATATATAGTCTTTGACTCCCTTTTCCTTTATAAAAATAAGTAATATGTGACTTTTTCAACATGTATATTTTCAACCAACTCCAACAATATGGTGTGCTTATCTTTGTTTTTTTTGGTACTACGTTGTTATGATGATCTGGTTGTCTTGGAATTAACTAGTATTTTGCTTTATAAGCAAGCATAACTTGGAATTAACTTTATGTTGCAGTTGCATTAATGGTTTTTAGAGTAATAAGACAATACTTGAATGCAAGGATGTGAGGAGTAGGACAATGCATGTTGTGTCAACTCTGGTACAATAGTTTCATCCAAATATTGTAGTGACCATATTTTACACACATATCTTTCCGATTAAAGTTGGTGATTTATACTCACAGTTTACAAGTTCGAGTTTTGAATTTCTAACCATTCAAAGACATGTTTACAAAAGCTATAAGCTACCACTATTCTAATAGATCTAGAAGCTGAGAAGAATAATCCACTCTTGTGGTTCAGGTATACAGAAAGAAAACATTTTGATCAATATGTGTTAGAATTGATAGTATGGACTTAGGATCATTATTTTTATTTAAACACATTTTTAAATTTATTTAGTATTTTATTATAAAATTTGTATGAATAAATTTAGTGGTGACACTAACTCTTTCTATTATCATATGCTAATACCATGTTTCAATTTCGATAATTTGTTTTGATTATTTTAATAACATTTATATCAAATATAGATATAAATGAACAATCATGTGTAGACGCACGGATTTTCTACTAATTATTATATATCAAATATATTAATTGTTAAATGAAACAAACAAAAAAAGTGTTGCTTATAATAGTTATCAGAGGGTGCAAAACACATGTGAAAGTGGTAATTCATTCCTTGTCTAAGAATTTATTTTTAAATTGATATTTCATTTGGAGAATTAGTTGTCTTTTGAAAAACTTCTCCTCATCTAAATGATTTAACAACTATTATTTAAAGGTGTTTTCTAGAAGAGTGCCTATAGTGAAGGAGGATATTATACAACTTGAGAAGAGCAATAAGCTGCTTGAATCTTAGAAAGAGGAGATCCCTGGTGAGGACACAATTAAGACCAAACAGTCGGATCAGAGAGATATGCACCTTGAATTTGGAAACCCTCGAAAAAGTGGTTAGAACAGATGCTTTCCCCACCTAGGACTTAGACCGGGCATTTCAGTGCTTGGTAGTAGCGCATACCAGGACGAGAGGTTATGGCCCCTTTTGGATAGTGGAAAAATGACTGAATTATTTCATCTTAAAGACTGTGATTGATAATGCTTATACAATTTCTGATAGTATATCGAAACACCTTAAATATATCGACCTAATACACGACAAAGTTAAAAATTATTTGGTGACATAAATCAATTTTCAAAACTTTTTTATATTCAAAATTAATAATTTTAAGATTTGTCTTTCCGCCATGGCTATCTAAGAAGTTTTTGGTAACTTTTTAACTGTTTCTAACTTCAACAACTCTTCAAGTGTAAGGAAAGTCACTTTAAATAGTGGAAACAAATGATTTTTTTCTTATCAATATGAAAGATTGTCAATGTCTTGACTAAGAACACCCCAATGGTGGAAGAAATAGTTGAAACACCTAAATAAATATGAAACCCCTAAAGAAACATTCACATGTCACGAAAATGACTATCTCTGCACACAAAAAAATACATTGAATGATTTGAATGATGATTTATATGATTATTATAGTGCCTACAAGGCTACCAAAGACAAATGGGAAATTCTAAAAAAGAAGTATGACACTTAAGAAGTTGTTGAGTAAAATATATGTTGTAAGTTGCTATTAGAAATACCAAATGAATGATGAAATATACGTAAAGATCCAATCCCATGAAATTCAGAAGATAGTACACGAAATTATCATTGAAAGTATGATTTTAGATGAAAAGTTTCAAGTTGTTGTTATCATTGACAAAGTGTCCTCATCTTGGAGGGATTTTCAAAAATATTCTAAGGCGCAGGATTAAAGAATCTTCTTTAAAGAGTATAATAACCTACTTTTGTATTAAAGAGGAATCTCAAAAACAGAATCAAAAAGAAGAAGTGTTGGTTGTTTCAAACAACAACAAAAATTCATTGGGTGCTTCTCTAAAGTCAATCGATAAACCTCACTAGAATCAAAAGAGACACTTGAATATAAATAATAACACTAATTGCAGTAAGAATGGCTAATCTCTAAGGCAACACCCACCTCTTCAAAGAAATGAGCATGTAAACTCGCATATCACTTGTTACAATTATGGGAAATCATGACATATGGAACGCAAGTGTAAGAACATGTCAAGTGTAGCTCATCACGCTGACATGATTGAAGAATAACAATTTATTTTTATGATTACTAAGATCAATCTTTTATATGGAACAAATGGATGATGGACAGGCACTTACGCCTTC